AATAATATTGCTGAATGTTGTACTCACAATTTCGTATCATACTTAAATTTATTATAATTAACGAATTTTTTAGAATAAGTAGTAGAATTAGAAAAACATTAAAAATTTATATATCATTTATATTTATTCATATTTTGTTTTCGCGCATATCTAAGTCACAGCTATGTTTTTATTTTAGAAAAACTGTAAAGAAATCCATGTTAATGCCGCATCGCGAAGAATCAACTAGCCATTACAAAAAGCAGTGAGATTTCTCATAACTAAAACTTGCCAGAAAATGGATTTACGAAAATCGATACCTCGAGCTAATTAAATACTAATTAATTATATAAATGATTTACAAAAATAATTTAACGATTACAGCGATACTACGGATCTAGTTTAACACATGAAAATTTTCTTTAAATGTTCGTATTGAGCTTAACATGTTTAACATATTTATATTATTTAAATACTGGTACTAAGTTTTGATCTTATGAAAAGACTTGATTCAAAGTTGAGTGAAAGTACCCACATTGACCTTATAGATATAGTGCATAGTCTTTAATTTTATGAACATTTTTTTTATTTTTTAACTACATTGTCAATTGAAAAATATTTTCACCCTGACCTGTAATCGTGGACAGAAATAATTTTTTTCGTAAACACCCAAATCAATTTTGCATTTACGAGGTAAAACGATAAGATCGACGATAGATTTGTTAATCACACAGATAAATATACACTCGACGTATAAATGGTCATGAATTCGTCTTGATTATTAAAAAACTTTTTTGGTTAATTGTGCATTAGTGACGAGTTGAAGTATTTTTGTAGTAACTATTGTTCTGTGGATGGTTGGTCGCACAATGCATCGATGATATTGGTTTAGCAGTGTTAATCTACGATTCGGCAATAAAATTTTTCCATACAAAATTATATTTTTCTATGTGCATAAAAGAAATTCTATTGATTCTAAGATTATTATTTTTATTTGGACGTCTGAACCAAAAACACGAAGACAGTACAAGCTTAGAATGAAAGCGCGGATGTATAGAATGACCCGAATTCGTCTTAATTGAAATATTATGTTCTCGATTTATAATGCAATGGTGTTAGCTTGAACTGTTTATTTGTCGTGGAGATGGTTGGTTGATGCGACCTCCGCACAATGAACATGCTATATCGTTTGGGCTGCTCCAATCATCTGGGCGGCAAACGAAGTTTTCATCGTTAGTAGTGGTGTTACGAAATTCGTTTCTCCACCATTAAATTGAATGCTCAAACTGATGAAATTAGAGAAATCAATTTTTATTGAAATATATTTATTCAATAAGGTCTAAGTATTTACTGACTGTACTATTTTGTTGAGATTTGTGCAAAGATTTTCTTCAAATTCAATAATATTTTTTTCCATTGTGTTGGAACGGGGAAAACAAGATTGTATAGTCATAAATGAGCATTCTCGTTTATAATGCTCCAAAATATCGTATATTTGGTAATTCATTGTAAAGCATAGAAGACTTGTAAGACAATCAGTCGTTTGGGGTTGAATAAATTAACTTTTTTAGTGAGAATACGATCGATTTCCTGTTTTCGAAAAATTTTGAGGATACTTGGAACTTGGAATTAATTATTATGTAAGCTGCTGAAGTAGAAAATTGAGTCAATCTTTTTGTAAGCTTTTCAATTTTTTCCAACGATCTTTCTTCGCACTCACGCACAAACACTATATCTCACTATATTGAAATTTTTCACAAGAATAATTTGCTCCATAAGAGTAAACGACTACCGAACTATTCGAGGTACAGTGAAACACTGACGAAGTTTTTTATCTTGCAACCAAACATTTTCGACGTGTCCACAGAGCCGAGCATCGTGTAAACTGTAATTACCATTCATCGACCAACCACCACCGATGTAAATAAATTCGAAAGAGTTAAGGATGTTTCCTTTGGCGTAAAAGAGAGAGCGACGAGTGCCTGCGGCAGCGGCGTTCGATCGCCCGGGGTGAGTACAGGATTTGCGTATACGGCACTGCATAAGGGACTAAAGCTCGTTAGATCTATATATGAAACAAAAATCTATCGTCAGTGAGTTAAAATAATAGAAATAAACTACTAAACTTTAATTTTTCATTTAACACGATTATCTCGCAAATTGGAATACAATATTCAATTCTAAATTGAAAATATTACACGTTCATTCACCGGCTCAGCATACACTTCATACATTTATTTATCTGGAGAAGTACGCTTTGAAATAGTTGTAATCAAGGGCTCATATATAAAAAAAATTATATTCAATTTTCGGAAAATATTTTTCTCCCACGCTCCGATACATATTTTAAATTTCTAGATGTAATTTTTCACGGAGATACAATTCCATTTCTGTGAATCTTTTTCTTATCCACAGTGTTTTAAATTGTCTCTTCGTTTGTGTTTACTGAAGTTTATTACCTTTTTCAAAAACCCAAAAAATTTTCCAAAGTTGACAATTTGATCATAGCAGCCAATCTTCTAATCTCAAAATCTAAATTTATTTGCAGCTGCCGCTATCGGTCAAGGAATCTCAAGTAGTAGCGACCCGAGATACGCGCGCAACTTAACGCACTGTACAGGGCAATTGGACTCGTGTAAAGCGAAAAAAAGGGCCAAGTATAGGGGTGGAAAGGGGGTCTCGACCCGGAGCCATCGGAAGATCGCCGGGCCGGGCTCGCTCGTCTCGAAAATTGGCTTTGTCGCTTTCGCTAATTGTATACAATCTCGGCCCGCGCGCGAGGTTTTGTGTTACAATACTCGTGGTATAGTACGAGTAGTAAGTAGTAACGCGCGCATAATGATAGTACTAGTACACTACGGCGTGTGCAGCAGCAGCAGCAGCTCGTGCGAGATGTTACTCACGCGTCAGTTGATTTTCCCATGGGTGACCGAGCTCGCTATACACAGAGCCAATATGTTTTCTTCGGCTATTATATAATAGCCGCTGCACCGATCGGCCCGGCGCACGACACGATGTGTGCTGTATGCGGCTAATTTTAGAGGGCAACGATCCGCTGCAAAGCCACCCCGACCGCTTAAATACATATGCTTTTTTTACCCCGATGTCTGTATGCACGTATGCGCCTATCGGCTAAGTAGTAGGTATATGCATGCAGTATTATAATGTACGCGAGGGCGTCGGACTATACGAGATTTTCGTTTTTGGGGATCGCGTCGAGTGCGACGAATCATCGATTCGTTGTTTCCGGGTTGATACAGTAAGCGGTTTTACAGCTCATTTGAGCCATTCGACGACACCGCGAATCACGGCTTTAAATAAGAATTTAATAAGATATACGCTGTTAACAGTGTTCGATGAGAAAAGTTTTATAAATTAAGAAGGTTGTGTACTATTTTTTACTGAACTTTGAATCAAAGTTTAATATCAATGAAATATAACATTTCTTTCTGTGTGGGCACGATTTGAAAATGGAAAAAAATTCAATTCTCTAAAACACTTCACTATTTGATTTCTATTAAATAATTTTTCGTCCCATTTGATTCGCGAAGTATAATACACAGTAAAAAAAGGCATAATATTTTTTTACCCCAAGAACAAAGAGAATAACCATTCGAAATTCATTAAAAAGTATATATATTATATTCTATCACCGTCGCCATGAGCATGTAGCTGCGGGAGAGAAAGAGCGTAAAAAAAGGTACCGAGCCAGAGAGAGAGAGCAAGAATATGTGAATCTGCGTTTGACTGGAGGTTTATACGGCCGTTGAGGACTAGCTGCTCCCAGCAGCCGTGGAGTCTGGCTTTGACGTGAATTATTAGCAATACAGCATTCGTAAAGGCGTGGCCTTTTTCGAGGGTAAGAGAGAGATTCTCCTCTCTCTCTCTCTCTCGAGCTCTTATGTGGGCGTGGCTCGTACCATCCACCCCCGCCCGCGCGCACGTCGGCGAGCAGCCCAGTGCGCAGAACCGGCTAGGCAGAGGCTTCATCGATTCTACATTACGTATATAGTCTATATGTGTGTACTATATAGTGTATGAGCGAGATCTGATTATAAAATTTATAGTATTTTTTTACGCGAACTGCATGCGAAATGGCAATCATATGCATTATTTTTAATAAAAAAATGTACGAAAGAAATTTAATTTAACGAACGTTTTTATTCAAAATTAATATTTCAATACTGATTTACTTATTGCGCTCATTGTACGGAAAATGTATGAAAAAAATGTATCAAAATTAACATCAGTCCTCGCCGCCAGGTGGCGTGTGATTTTATCTGCGATTCCGCAAGTAGCAAAGTCAAAATAATTGTATAAGTCCAAGCATGGTTTCAAAATACGATCTATATTTTGTAGCCTTTGGTCTTACGTCCAATTAATCTTAAATGCATATAGCATGTAAATAAATGCTTGTACTTGAAGGAATTACGAACTTTAACTATTCCATTTTTAATTGAAATATTTGGGACTCAATTATTAACAGTACTCGCAAAAATCGATTGCAATAAAGCGCCGACGTTGTTTTATTCATTTCATTGTGGCAGTCGATACATCACTCACATTATCGCGTAGGTCGAAACCTCGATTCATCAACGTAAGTTTCTTACGCGAAGCTTTCGAGCATATAATAATAAAAATATACAAAATTCTCAAGGAGTTGCTCGCGAGCTTCATCGAAAAGTTAAAATTGTTATAAAGATAGCTAAAAATCTCTCCGTTCATGAACTCGTATTTACACATAAAGTAAACGCTTCGGTCTGGGATATGTCCGTATAGGTATATACTCTCGCCATTGCGCCACACAGCGTGAATATAATGGCCTGTCAAGACCAGACGTACGCCCGTGTATATGTACACTGTATTTGTGTGTGTGTGTTACGCTCGCCCGAAAGCTTCTTCGATCGATCGCTCGAGACGCTCTTGAACTATTATTATTGTCATCGTAATATACATAGCTACATTTTTTTCGCTATTCTAACGTAATATTTGATAAATGTTCGAAGGTCATCGTCACGCACCTTTTCAGCGCCATCTTCGCAATTATCGCATCGATTCATCAATTGCCGCCTCGAGCTCTCGACCTGGCCGCGGATCTGCTCCAGCGCGAGCTCGCTCCTCTCTCTCGACTCGTCGATCAGTCTCAACCTCCTCGCCTTGTCCCGCTCCAGCTCGGCCAGCTTCTTGTCGAAATCTTCCAGCACGGCGTCGCGACATTTTTCCGTTCTGATCTGTGCGCAAACAAATTGAATTAACTACGATGAAAAAATAAATAAATATGTTTATACGTACTCTAAAGTCGTCGGCTCGCTTATCCAAATTATCGGCGGCGATCGTCAGCCTGTCGATAATTGCGCCGGCCTGCGCGCTGGCGAGCCGCTGCACGTGGATCTCTCGGCACGCGCGACAGTATATCTGCGCTTGCAAATTGTCGCACATTTGTTTATACAGTTGGCGACAAAAAATTAAAAAAAAAAAACAACCTATACCTGATTGCAATGACGACAAGCGTCCTGAGAGTCGCAGTAGGGTGCCCGACAGTTGCAGCATCTGATGGTGATGGAGCTTTGCGCGGAAATTTTTCGCTCTCGCGTCCTCTGCATCGTCGTGGGTCTCGCCATAATGGTAGACTGTCGTTGCTGCTGCTGCTGCTGGGGCTGATTAGTCGTCATCAATTGTCGAAAATTCACCACGAGGCTGTGTCTGCGCTCGCCTCGTCTCGTCCCATCCTCGGTGTCACCGTCTACGTCGTCGAGCCTGCGCTGCTCGACAAAGTCCTCCCTGTCGACGGCCTCGAGCAGCCTGGCCACGCCCGCGTTCACGGGCAGCAGATCCGTCGAGACGAAATCGGCCACGGGCGTGCGACAGCTCGGGCAGCTCGGAGCCGAGGAACTCGACAGCTCCAGGTCGAGGCACTTCTTGCAGAAGCTGTGCTGGCAGGCCAGAGTCCTGGGCGATCTGAGCTTGCACTTGCACAGCGGGCAGAGGATGATCTCCTCGAGCACGCCGAGGGTCGGTCTGCTCGAGCTTGAATACACACACGGACGGATAGACGCGTGTTTTTTTTTTTTTTTTTTTAAATCAAGGCCAAATATATCGTTGGGCTAATAAACTCGGAGCTTATCGTTAAAATTGACGAATTGAGAAATATATGTAATAAATACGACTGCGGAAACTTGACCTTCAGAGTTTGCCAATGATGAATTTTGAAGAGGGTATATAACGCGTACGCGATGCACGATAACGAGGACGCCGTGTAATGCGATCTTATCTTCGCGAAACTCGTAAATTTAATATTGGCACACAAAACAGAGATAGATACACACGTCAATTTTTCGATAGTTATCGTAACGTATATAAAATGTGCAAAAATTGCAAACAAACACTAACTCCGCAGCTCCGGCTGCAAAATTCTTACGTAACAATTTCAATTTTCAAAAAAAAAATGTATATGTACCTGGTCTTGCGTCTTCTTCTGCTACTGCAGCGAGTCTTGTCGCTTCTGACGACGACGATTGCCTGCTCGCTCGTCGTCGACAGCATCTTGTTGCTCTCCTCCGGACTGTCGTCATTGTTGTTGTTGTTGCTGTTTATTCGCTGCTGTCGTGGATGATTCTGAATGATGGGCAGCGACAGTTGACGTTTCAGCGCCGATTTCAGCTTCGTCAAATTGAACACATCCATGACGATGACGATGACGACCTCGAGGAGACGTTAACGAAAAAAAAAAAATAATAATACGATAGATACGTTTGTATCGGCAGCTCTTCGCTACGCGATGATCGCGTGTACACTGACAGCGCGACGATGACACGAGACGACGACTCAAACTGATCCGTTCCGCGTGTCGATCGAGCGATAATAAAAAAAAAAAAAAAAAACAACAACGAGCACACACAAAAAAAAAATAATAATAATAAAGAAATTCGCTTGTGGCCGCCCGTATGAACGTGTGTATTACCTTTTAATTATTGCTTAGTATAGTGTAGTGCAGCGCGACGAGTCGATCGATTACGAAGTTTGCGCGAAAAACGCGAAGAGCTGCAACTACTTTTTTCATTTTCTTTTTCTTTTTTTTTTTCATTCGATTCATATAAGATTTTCGAACGAGAGTAAAGTGTAAAAATGAATATTATGAGTTTTGTAACTTAAAAAATTCGAATGTATCATCGAGAAAAACGATCGAGAACAGGACATCGACGATTGTTTCATTTTGATAAAAATAAAATATTGCGAGCGAATAAAAAATGTAACTCTTTGTAAAAACTCACGCGCGCGGCGAAACGTCAAAAGTCGCGGATCAGCTGTAGCAACGGACAAGTGGGCATTATTATTGTTATGATGCAGCTCTCTGCAGTCTCTACTGCAGTATAGTACACATGCGGACATGCCACACCAGCATGTGGCCAACTTCACAGATGAATACACTAAAAAAAAATCATATGCGTGTGTGCCGTGTTGCCTACTGCTGTGTTTATATAAAGGAGCGTAGTAAAGTGAGCCGCGAGAAAGTATCTGCGTAGGTGTCTATATTAGATAGTCGTGCAGTGTCTGTGCACCATGTGCCTTGTCGCGCTCCCATCTAAATTGCTCATTTTTAAAAATTGAACCTCGTCGTGTGTCAATGAGTTGATCGAATCCCGAAGACGAGGGGCAGAGGCGTTGTGTCGATGGCCGTTAATAGTAATTCGTCGTCGTCGACTCGTGCGTCGTTGTTATGCGCCATCAACGTCTGCTACGCGTACTGGCGGCCCTAGCTGCAGCTTGCCTCGGCCTCTACGTACTTCAGATCTACCTGGTCTCCTCCACCTCCTCGTCTGCCTCAGCTAACGATGACAATAACAACGAAGTTCTTCAGCAGCAGCAACAGCAGATCCGAGGACACGTTGATGTTGCTGCTGCTGCTGCCAGCAGCAGATCCTTGGCGATCAGCAAGAACGATACTTACAACGTCTGGTGCATCTTCACCAAGGTAACCAGCAATTCGCCGATAAAGGGAAAGTTCAGGATACTGGTCGACTCGTTACTTAAGCACACGTCCAGTCGGCTCGTCTTTCACGTCATAACGGATCAAAATAGTCAGGATATAGCCGTGCAGACGGTGGAGTACATTATGCGTGTAAATAAAAAGTCAATCAAGGTAATGTTATGAAAACTCTTATGCTTTGACAGTGTCTCAATTGCAGACTAATCAATGTTTATCTTTCAGGTGCAATACTATGATGTTCTTAAAGCAGCGAGAGAATTAGAAGATATAGTCTCCGTTATGACGCAGTACTTTAGTAGCAAACCAGGAACTTACTATTCTGATGCCTTATTCTTTCTATCGCTGGGCTTGCATAGGATAGCAGGTGAAGATCAAGACTTAGCTGTGATGGTAGATGCTGATACAAAGTTCAGGGTGGATATCAAATTGTTGTTTGAAGAATTTCACAATTTTGGCAAAGATGCCTTATTCGGCTTGGGTCCAGAATTGACACCTGTTTATAGACACGTTTTGTACATATATAGGAATAAAAATCCCAAGACTAATTTTGGAGAACCCAGTTATCTTGGCGGTTACGCAGGGTACAACAGTGGTGTTATACTTTTTAATTTAAAGAGACTTAGAGAATCACTAGAATATGATCAAATTGTTGGGAGAGACAGTGTAGAGCACTTAGTTAAGAAATATGATTTTAAAGTAAGTTTTTCCACAAAAAATCATAGTTGTAAAAATTGCACATTAATAATCATTCATTTGGATTCATTTTGCAGGGTCATCTTGGCGATCAAGACTTTTATACTTTGTTAGGAATGGAAAGACCCGAATTAATACATACTATAGACTGTGGGTGGAATCGTCAACTGTGTACATGGTGGAAGGATAGAGGTTATTCGGATGTCTTTGCCAATTACTCCAGATGTAATTCTGATACTAAGTTATGGCATGGCAATTGCAATACACCAATTCCTAATGATTGATTATCATTAAGTTTTACTTTGTACAATATAAGATATGTAAGATAGTACGGAGGCTTGTTAGACTAGCTAAAATTAAGCCACTGTTTGATTTGATACTTATTTGAATGTTAATGAGAATCATCAAATTGAACAAGTAACAAAAGTGCCTTATTTGGTATCTGTGTGTGAATAAGATAATATATTTTTACAATAAAGCTGACATCTTTTCATTTTGAAAAGATTATTTTAAATTAAAATAATGAACTTTTTTTCTTCATAACTTATGAAGACCAAATTTTCCTTGTTTGCTATATAGAAATTCAAATATGTATCAATTAAGGTTGAAATGAAAGATAGTTAAATTTTTAATCAACTTTAATGAAACTTCATGTTATAGTAATACAATAACTTTTGCATAAATAATAGATTACAGTTTTGCCATTTTAATCAATAGGGACATTATTAAATACAATACAGACAATAATATACTATTCACAAAATAGTTAATTTCAAGAAATTTATGTTTTGAATGCCTATTAAATATTAAAATCTATCACTATATTATTTTTTTACAAAATATATTTCTTACACTTTTATAAACTAACTTCGCTTCGATTTGGCTAAGACTTTCAAGACATATGTATCAATGTAAAATGCATAATACATAACTCATATCTTTTACATAGAGTGGAATATACTCTTGAAAGTGAATATAATTAATAGCGAATGCGTCAAACACATTCGTTTAAAAAGACCTTTTAAAGAAAAATAATACCGACTAAATGCTCCACAATTTAAACTTATCTAATTTGTTACACAAATTTCACAAGTGTAAGATTTCTAATAATATAATTCTTTTTTCTGACATTCACACTTTGTTGAACTCAATTATATTTTTTTTATGAGCTTCAATTCGTTGTACAGCGTATTAAAATATGATGAATGTTACCTTTGGTCCCGTTGATAGAATCTTACATCTTTACGCACATTGATTAGAACATTTGTTAGTATAATAAGTGTTATATTATATAAAAGTGAGTAATGTCGAAGATCGACATATGACTATGAAAGATTAGAATGATCATCCACATAATTAATCAAATAAACTTTCGACTCTCTAGCTGATGAAAGGAGATGACAAGATTGAGGAATTATCCTAGAACTTTCAAATCACGATTCATACTTGAAAAATATTTACAATTTCAAATGATCGCATTTCAGTAAGGCGTACTGTTGACATTTCTTTTACTATGTTTACTTTAAAAAAAATGTCAATCAATCGAAAGTGATAAAATTGAGCACCAGCTACGTACGTTTAACCTTATCATTTTATCCACAATAATCGACTTTTATCAAACCAACGAAAAAAAAACAACACTAAAATATTTACAGAATTGAGTAATTCCAAAAATCAAACATATTTAAATTTGGGAAGAGTTTACAACTCTCGCACATGCAAGTTTTTTATGACAATTTCGATATACATTTCACGATACAAATAAGCAACAATAACAATAAATATTTATATACTAAATTATAATATAATCGTTCATTTTCAAACAGCGTCGATTTTTTCAAAATCGACGAATAAAACATTCAAAAACAATTACACATTGACCTACAAGAGACTATTATTAGCATGACTGAATGACAAAACTAGCTTTTTTTCCTTTTTTTTTCAGAGCTCGTCTGAAAACTTTTGCCTCGCTCGAGCTGTACATTATCTACACAGTTGCAGGTTGCCAGCGAACAATCCCCAACTTGCGATCTAATACCGATCGGAGACCTGCAATCGACACGAAAAAGAAACAAATTAATACCAATTCGAGAACAAGTAGCTATTAATCGAAACTTACCCTTTTCAAATTCTGTCTACCACCGAAACCTCTAATGGCATCGAGCAATTGATCCCTGGGATCGACGGCCGACTGGGTTCTCAGAACCTTCGGCCTCGCGTTCACATTCTTCAACGTTACGCCGGTTATAATGGGCATCGTCGGTGGCTTCGGCACCGTACTACTAACGGTCTCCTTGACTCCATTCGACAAATTGTTGGCCTGCTCCTTGACACCATTCATCATCTTAAAGGTAGTCTTCACTTGACCGTTCAAGTGTACCGTAGACTGATGATGATGCTCCTCGTTGTTGTTGTTATAGCTGTTGTTGTTGTTATTAATGTTGCTGTTGTTCGTTATACCAACGACCGAGGTATAACGCGTCACTGGTTTTGGCTGCGTCGCGGGTCGCGCTTGGCCGACCATCGAGACGAAGCCGTTCTGTTTCGGGAGGCTATCGGCAGCTTTCGGCCGTTCGATGTACTCGGAGCGGCGCTGATTATTGACCACGTTCGGGCGCGGAGCGGTAGCTGGTTTCGGACGAAGACGGACTTCCTGGCCGAATGCCTTCGTTAGTTCTTTGAAGTTTACCTGAGGAATCGAGAAAAAATAAATTAAAATCGATGAATTTTCTTCGAGTAACGGCAGTGGCATCCATTCATGCCGTATTATTGCTCAACCAACCGATGACGTATCGACGCGCGACTCGTTGTCGTCGTCCTCGGGCTTTTTGGGCTTGTCCGTACTGTCGCCGTTCAGGTTCACGATTGTCCTGGCTCCGCTGCTGCTGGACGAGGCTGCCGTCGCCGCGGACTTGTTGGAATTATTCAGCTTGTAATCCTGATCGTTTTTTATCTGCACATTGAGACTCGGGCGCTCGTTCCAGCTGCCCAAACTGATGGACGGGGGCCCGCAATAGGTGTAACGCTTGGCTGCCACCGCCGACGCATCGGAAGGTGCACGGCGCGGCGCCGCTGTCGCAGTCGCTGTCGTACGTAATTGCACCTCGTTCTTTTCCTCCGCTGGTTGCTGCTGCTGCTGTTGCTGTTGTTGTTGTTGTTGCTCTTGCCTGCAATAAAGTTCAATCGTTCGTTACGAGGATACTCTTCCATCTCACGCTTCAGTGGGCGCGATTTATGTATTTTGCAAATATACTCACTTGGGCTTCACCGTTGGTGGAGGGACTTGCTCGTTGACAACGGCTTTGACGCTATTTTCACCGGTGGTTTGTGCACTCTTTAATTGTGGCAGTATACTCTTCAGTACCTATGGATATAGTAAATTAAATCACGACAAAGTTTAAAGGAAAAATGAATACACGGAAATCGGCGCGACGATATAATCATACCTGCAGCGATTGCAGCTGAGCTTCCGGAGAGGATGCGATCTCGGTTTTTTTCAGCATATTCTCTCGCCATTGCGAGAATCGTTCATGTTTCGACATATTCTCGCAGCCCGCAGTCGTCGTCGTCGTCGTAGAAGCAGCATTGCCACTCGCAGCTACATCCTGAATCTTTTTCGTCGGCCCGTCGATCACGCTATCATCCATTTCAACTTGTTTCTTCTCTCTCGGCTCATCTTCCAAGCTCTGCTGCTCGAAATCGTCGACTCGATTTTGAAACTTCTCGTTGCTCGACAGGCTGACGTAGCTCTTGGATCGGTTTACGGTGACGCTCTGCTGCTGCGGCTGCGGCTTCTCCTGGGCTGTTTCTTCAATCGTTTTGCTGGTGCTATCGATACTCTCGACCGACTCCTTCTTTTTCGTCTCCAACGGCGCGGTGGCAGCTGCTATGTCGATCGAACTCTGCGCGCTCTTCATTCCGCCGCCTATGGTATTGCTCTTCTTCTTTCTCTCCTCGGCGAAGTCGAGGGCGTTGCTTCGGCCTCTCTGCAGCGTGGCGAAGGCGCTTATCGTTCGACTCGACCGCGCGGTCTCGACGACCGGCTCAAAGATGTCGAGACTCTTTTGCCGGCCATACGTGGTGATGGTGAAATTCGACAGGCTGTTCTCGACCGGTGCAATTTTCGGCGCCGACTCTTCGTTCGACTTCTCGGCCATGATCGTCGACGTGCCGCTTATGCTCTTGCCCTGCTGCTTCGTCGTCGTGATCTTGGTCTCGAGCTCGCTGATGACCTCGGCTTTCTTGATCTCTTCCGTAATAACTGCTGCTGCTGCTGCAGCAGTGGTCGTCGTCGTCGGCGGCAGCTTGGCTGGTGCAGCAGGTTCGGAGATGCTATCGTTGGTGGTCGAATCGATTTGCGACGACTGCGTTTCCGGCATCACTGGCCGAGGTGGCGCGGGCAGCGGCGGCGACGGCGTTCGTTGGTGCACCTCCGCCTCGATGGCGATCGACTGCTCGGGTTCTTTCATTAGCTCGGCTGCGAACCAAAAAAAATTCATTTATAAAAACAAAAACGTAAAGAGAATCGTAGTAAAATTATATCGCCAGCAAAGTAAGCTCGACGACTGGAGTTCGTGACGGATTGTACGCGGATGTCAGCGCGGCAAATTTCGTGCCATCTACGATTCACGTAACGCAACGCGTTCTCTTGCCGTATACCGATGTACATCACGATGACACACCACATACGGAACGCGCGCGCGATCGTTACATTATTTTTCCGCGCGCAACATCGCATGTAACAATACGTATGATACTCACGTTGCGATTCGTCTTTCAAGCTATCCTTGCCAGCCGTGGTGATGCTGTCCTGATCGTCGTCGCGAAATTCGCTCGGCGGCGCGGGTATCTGATAGTCCCAGTCGGACACGCCGAGATCCTCGCCACCGTAGTCGCTCGTATCCTGCTGCTGCTGTTTCTGCGGCTCCTGCTGTCGTTGGAGCGCCTCGGCGGCCTCGTAATCATGACTAGTCGAACGTTCTGCTGCTGGAAAAGGGTCATCGTCGTTATTATTATTATTGAGTCGTACGCGCACTCGAAGGCAGGACGACTGCAGCTGCAGCTGCTGCGACAGTCGTCGTCGCGCAACACAGGCACGCGGATCATGGCAAACGTTGACTCGGATCGTGCTCGTGAATATCAATCGCGACATGGCCGAGTCGAGCTCGTAAACTGCCGCGCGATTAAATTCGTTAAGCATCGCGAGTTCGTGTAGTTACACACACTGCAGGTTTATATAGAAACAAGTACGTACACAACGCGAGCGAATGTGTCAGAAAAGTAGAACTTCGTTATAGAATGACGAATTGAGAAATATCGATTCAACAAAATTGTGAAAACAATGGCAAAACTTGCTGCAAAAGTTAGACGTCTCACCTTCGACACGTCGCTGCTGTTGTTGTTGCTGCTGCACGCCGCTCGTTGCTGTTTCGTCCTCCGATTTGCTACGTCTGACGACATTATCGTCCACCGCCGCGCTGCTGCCGTTGATCGATTCGCCGGCGTGACGCGGATGGCCGTTGTGACGCTGATTATGATGATGAATCAGTTGGCTGGTCGGCTGCGCGTACGAGTGCGAGAGCGTGTCCGACACCTTCTGCAGCAAGATGTCCGTGTCCGTGGCGATTTGCTGGGCCTTGCTGCTGTTGCTGACGACTGCGCGCAGAACAGAAAGTTTTGGGGAAAATTCGGGCGTGATTAGTATATAGAGTTTCGACAGAGACACGACGATGACGCGCGTGCCGTATAATGCAGAACAAAGTTTTAATGAGGCGAGAATATATGTAGACGGTATTTTATGTATATGAGTTCGATCATTACTGCGATTTTGATATATGACTCGGTTGCTGATGCGGAAGGGCGATGTTACAAAGTCGATAATTGTATTTCGTGTCTGATTATTGTTAGGATTTACTCGCTGATGCTATGATTGAAGTTCGCTTTTTTACGCTCCGCTCGAATGATACATATGTTACTTGAGTTGTCTGACTGACACAGTGCAGATTCTTATCGATTTTTCGTCTTTTTTTTATTATGCATTTCTAATAAAAATTCATGTAACTGCCAGCACCATTTTTACAAAGTAAAAATCCAAACCAAAAGTCAGTTTATACATAATCAGTCCCCAAACAAATTATTATTATTAAAATCCAAAATTACTAACTAAAGAATAATCAATATTTCAAGGACTTAGATTGTAATAAAAGTGCAGCTTTTAATCATGCTCAATACTCTAAATGGTGTGTAATAATAACTCAATAAACCTCAAGATTTTCATCGACACACTAAAAAAAATCTACACTGGTGCATGAAAGAAGTGAGATATAGAAAGAGAAGAAATAGGTGAGATCGTGAGTGAGTTAGCGATATCAGTGCTGTTTTGAGAAATTTACATATATGTACAAGTTTTCTTTTTTGTTCTCTCAAAATAACACACGTGTCAAAAAAAAACGATACAACAACAATGGGGCAAAGAGGATTATCATGACAGAATGATGACAACAACAACAACACAGAGCCGAGCATGCACCTGCTGCCGCAAACGAGGCCTCCTCCTCGATCCTCCTCCTGGCCTGCTCGCCGAGATGCGGATTGATGGCGAAATTGAAGCTCTCGGTGCCGTGGCAGGTCAGGTGGCGGCCGTGTCTCTCCGCCGGGCCGATGTCGAAGTGCCCGAGCTCCGACTGGCTGCGCGTCACGCGCGCTCGCTGCTTCTTCAGCGACGACTTCTTCTCGGGCGCGAAGTCGAAGCCGACGGGCGGCGGCAGCTGCGGCACGTCCTCGTCGATCGGCGAATTGAGATGAGCGCACTTGGGTATCATCGACACGATCGCGCAGGCGATCTTTTTGTTGTTGCTGCTGCCGCCGTTGTCCTCGTGCGCCTCGCCGAAGCACAGCACGCCGCCGACGGGCGTGTTGGGCGGCGACACGGTCGAGTCCGGCTCGACGGTGTCGTCCTGGAAATCCGTCAAGCGGCTGCTCTTCAGCTTCGGCTCCTCGTGTATGATAACTTCGACGTCTTGAATTTTCACGGCGTCGTCGCGATTCGTGGTCGGATCGGCGATGAATACCTCGTCGGACGCGTCGGAGGAGCGTCTCTCGTCGTCGATGCTGCTGCTGAGAACGGAGGACGTCTCGAGCCTGGCCGCGACATTGACGGCCTCGACGATCGAGTCGATGGCCTCGCGCTCGTCCTCGGTGAGGCTCGGCAAGCCAAAGCTCGAGGGACTACTGCAAGAGGCTGCGTCTACATCGGAAAACTGCAGGTTGCTACGTTGCTGATCTACGTTGAGGGTTCTCGTGAGCTTACGATGCTTCGGGAAAGGATCTGTATTTTTGGGGTTTCAAGTTGTTTTTTTTTTTGGCTTGCATTTCAAGAGGTCATGCACACAAAGTAAATAATTGTATCGAACAGAAGTCAACTTTTAACGAGTTATTTACAGGCAAATATATCACATTTCGAATATCACACTGGTCTCTTTCTGCTCGACATATAATATAGGTAAATAAGGCAAGTTATTCAAAAAGCTTAAATTGGTTAGTAAAAAAGCAACTACGTACTAACAACTTTTATTAGTAAAGCAAAGATCGAGGAATCGCTCAAAGTGGAGAATAACTTATTTACACTAATCAAATAGAGACTCGTCAACGTGTCAAATCAAGCGTGTTAAATGCATGCCAACAGCCATTGGATTTTCAAAGTCTTTCAAAGTTATCACAATCAATGTTTTTTTTTCTTTCATTTATATACAACAAGAAAATATTATTAAAAAATAAAGTATTCAAGGTGCAAAGAGTCAGATCAAAAAATTCATATCCTATAGTAATAAAGCCAACGAAGCGCAACTATATGTATTTCGCCGCGATCATCATACGAATTGGCCGGTTCTGCACTCGAGGATGTCGTTAAGATTTTCCAAGAATTTCGACCAGTTTTCGCTCGACTCCTCGCGATTGACGAGACCCGGCGGCGGTGGCTTCAGAATGCTCAATTTCCCGCCTACGGCCGCGGAAGACGACGGCCGACGATGATCGATGATCGGCAGCGAAGGCAATTTATCGATCTCGCCCGGTATCATCAGATCGTCCTCCTCGGTTTCGTCCAATTGTATGTCTTCCGGTTTCGTCGATATGGCGAATATGTGCAAATTGCTGAGCAGCGGCAGCGGTGGCCAAGAAGAATCGACGATGGACGACGACGACGAGTCGAGGGAGCAGCGACGCGAGGACGACAACGCTGGGTTATTGAAGCTATACGAGTGGCTCAATTCCAGGCTCGAGCGACGAGCCGGACGAGCGCAGCTCTGAGCGACGTTGTGGGACGCGTGCCTCCTCAATTTGCACGTAGACGTCTCGCTCGGCTTGATGTTCGCGTCGAGTTTCGCGATCGTCGGCACTTTGACGACGATTTTTTTGCTCTGCCTCGCGCTGTTGTTCCGATTGTCGAACGACGACGAAGCGTTACCACCACCGCCAGCTCCTCTCATTGCCAGGCTGTTCGACTGGTACCGGTTTTTTTCGAATCGACACGAGGAAGCCACGCAACGCTCGCGAAACGCGAGAGGCGAATCTTCGTCGCGACGACAACGCGTGTAACGACAACTGCCGCGAAAAGGACGACTGCGCGGCGACGCGGGAATGCAGCGCTCTAGCTTACCTTTGTTATTGTTACTGCCTAATACTCTAGCGGGCTCTACGTAGTGGTGGCTGCCGCAGGAGGTACCTAGGTCCGAGCCTCCGGCGATGTCCGAGGACGGCTTCGACAGCTCCATGTCCGAGGTGAGCGACTCGTCCGAGTCGACGATGCGCTCCAGGGCCTGCACGGAGATGGCCGACGGCAGCGGCCGAGCAGGTGGCGCCGGGGCCGCTCGTTTCTTGCGCTGACCTGTGTGTAAAAAAGAAATGTGTCGAAATGATATAACAGTAATGAGAATCGGTCTTTGTCACTGATACATTAGTAATTTAGAGATGGTGACATATTGGAGCTGCCGATCGCGAATGACGAAATGCGATGATTTTTCACAACACACGCGCGCGCGCATGACGAAACGACACTTGTGGTCTACCGTCGTATGTTTGTATGTCATTTGACGAATACATTAAGCAATTCATTCAGTCGTCGGACGACTCGCGTGAAATTAATCAAGTGTAACTTACTTATAACCGAGCCTGTGTCGTATGCACGCAGGAAACAAAACGAAATCCAAATCATCGATAAAAAAAACTAAAACCAATAAAATCAATAAAAAAAAATACTAACCGGCGGAGCTTAGCGAAGTGTTGCTGATGCCCCGGCTGAGGGTGCCACCGCTCGCCGTGTGACACGAGGCCATCATGGCCAGATTGCAGAGGCTCTTGCTGGCCTGCGACGTGTGGGCCAGTTTGCGCGGCACCGACGACGACGACGAGGAAGAGGACGACTCCAATATGCCTCGCATTTTTCCATTCGGCATGCGGCCATTATTATTATTGTTGTTGCTGCTGCCGTTGTTGTCCGGATTGTCGCTGAGCACCGAGGCCTCGTGATAGCCCGAGCTGTCGCTGCTGTTGCGACTGTGACTGATGACGATCTTGTCCTTGTCGATGCTCTCCGTCTCCGTTGCCGATTTCTGCTGCTGCTGCTGCTGCTGCTGTTGATTGGCGATTTGCTGCGTGGGCGGTTTCGGCGCGGGTCTGCGCTTCCTCAGCGGCCTCGAGGGCAGCGGCTGCTGGAACTTCTTCTCGACCTTGTCGACGACGTCGTGGCCGTTGCCGTTGCTCTGATGATAATGATGATGATGATGGTGCATGATTATCGGACTGACGCTGCGCGGCGTCGTCTCGTCGTGACTGTGCGCCGGCGACACGCTACGATTGCCAAGGCTGTCGCTGCTCAGCGAGCTCTCCTTGGACTTGCGGCTGAACACGAAGCCGAAGACCGTGTGACGTTTGTTGGCTTGCTGCTGTTGTTGCCTTGGTTGCTGCTGCTGCTGCTGCTGCTCCTCTTGCCGTTGAAGAGCCATGATGTCCTGGGTACTGACCGAGGAGCCCAGTCGAGACTGCTGATTGCGTGGGCACAGACTCACCTCTTGCAGGTGATAATCTTGCAGGCTCAGCGCCAAGTTCAACACATCCGAGACGTTGGCTGTGTTTTTTAAATAAAAAATAAAATAATTACGTATAAATATCGTATGTGATTTTTACAGTTTATTGCAAATTGTAGACGCGATGGGAGTTTCGCGTGTACACGAAGACGACAACAACGTGGGAACGAATTTTATACAATCGTCGCTAAATTCGATCTCGCGCGTTCCGCTCGAAGCAAGGGTTTCGGAAGCCTTTTCCTCTTTCTCTCTCTCTCTCTCTCTCTCTTTCTGTCTATCTTTCGTTTCGCTCGTACACACAGACACATACACACACTCGGGTGTGTATCCTCTAATTAGTACCACGCACGTCATCCTCGCGTATACGAGGCGTCGATCAATTTTTTTTTTTCAAAATAAGAATTATACACACGCGGAAGCGCGATGTCTGCGCAGTGAGCGCTGCGCGCATCATGAGTATCGCTCAAGATGCTATCGGTCGATGCAGGATTTTTTTTCCGCTCTTACGCCGTTGCTGATTCTTTTTTTCTACCTTTTCTTCTTCTTCTTCTTCTACGTTGAAAATTGCTACTTATCGTTGCAACTGTGTATAGAATAGTTTTATTTCATTACGAAATGTATGCGTGCATCGATGAAAAATACTGACTCGTTATAAGCGGTAACTCGAGCTTACTTCTTCGAAATACGCGCAATAAATTCATTCGAGCGCCCTTTTGGGATGATATTCGCTTTTGTTATTAATAGCCGCGCGAAGCTAAATAAGCTCGCTCAGGATGATTTTAATTAACGCCGTATTACATTACCTGTATATACGCACGTATGTGTCCGCAGCGTGACCGAAAAGATTACATATTTGCGATACTCGTTCGTTTAATTACCAACTATATCGTGTACGTTTAAATGTTAAGCGATTCAATTTTTCGACGTGCGTATGTTTATAAAGTTTGACGTTTCCGCGATTGCTAAATATACTTGCTTACTCGCTTACTTATACGCGCGCGAGACAGCTCGTGAAACTCTGAGATTGACCAAAAGTGCGCGGAGTAATTATCAGCTGCTGTGTATACACATAATGAAGCAGCAAAACTCCCACAATCTCGAAAACGGCGACCCGTTCACGAAATCCGTATATCGAAACAATGAGCTCCGTACGTGTTATGAATAACACTCTCGCGAGTGTATATAGGAAATAATTGTAGTGCACAAGTATGCATGCATATGCACGAAAATACCGAGATCTATGTGTGTGTGTGTGTGTGTCTATATCAACGCTGATCCCGTATGGCACGCGCCAATTTCGATGCTGTCTATATGTGCGTGTGTGTGTGTGTGTGTGTTTGTGCATTATATACGGAAAACTTGCGAAACTCGCGGCACAACTCTCGACTGTTCGCGTTTATAAGTATAGGGTGAAGTATATGCATGGCGTATACACGTGAGTTGCCGCAGCAGCCGCTACTACTGTACGCGCTATATTTTGAAAACTCGACTTAGTTGTATGTATTGCGAGATAGCTCGAGAGCGGCGCGAAACACATTATTATTGCATCGCGAGAGTACGCGTACACGAAAACGAATGTCGTTTAGCGCGAGTGGGGGATTGAAAAACGAGCTTTTTTTATATGGATTGGCTAATTAGACGTAATGTGTGTGTGTGTGTGACTTCTGTACGAGCTACAGAATGCAGCCACATAATTCAATAATCGATTCGCCAGATCGCTATTACGATTGTACCATTTATATATTATATATTATAAACAGATGCCTATCTGCCGGGGCATGAATTTATAACACCTCCTTTGACGCGCGTGTAGAGAATATACCAAAAAAAAGTGCAATGCACGCGAAGCGATCGTAAAATCACTCGTACGCGGTGTATAAAATTTTGAATATCGACCCGCTTGGACGCGTTTATACTGCTGCTACCCACTTCCAATGCTATTATAGACGGAGAAAAAGGAAAATCTCGCGCGGCGCGTTTGAGTGCCTATATATCTATATGCAGGAGCTGCTGCGGGTCTTAGATATATCGAGAAAAGAGAAAGGCTTTTGCGAGAGAGCCGATATATATACAACACACACATCACGTGTGTGTGCGCGCGCGCATTGAAACACGTATGAATGAATTGAAAAGCGAGCGGGCGAGAGAGAAAGAGAGCATTAATAAATAATAATGTACAACGCCGCGCAGGCCTCGACGATCTATAATAATAAATAATAAAAAAAAAGGAAAAATGTTTTCTTCTCCGCGCTATCGTCTCCTCTTCGTTTTGCACGCTCACCTGGATGTCGAAGCTCGTACTTATTCCGGTCCAGATTCTTGGTGCGGCACACTTCGTCGAGGATCTCGCCGAGATTCGTTTTTGGGCTCACTCGCGATACGTACAGCTGATTGCGTGGCATGTGCACCTGTGTTCAACATACAAAATATACACATGTATACATACAATGGCATCGGTGTGTGTCTCCTTATACATGCTGTCTTATTATAATACGGCGCATCGCGAGAGAAACAATGACGATGTGTAATTATATTTTCGTATCGTATTGCTCGACTGTACTCGTATATGCATACTGGGTTATTACAGCAACAACAACGACAAGAAAAGGAAAAAATGAGAAGAGAGAAGCAAAAAAAAAACGTGCAGAATTATACTGCTCGGTAGCTCACCTGCAATCTGAACGTCGTTTCGAATGGCTGATTGGACTGCTGTCTCTTGCGCGACAGAAACGTACCCTGTTTAGGCAGAAGCTTGACCTGGAAAAGGAAAAACGAAACGAACGTTATAACATTTGCATGGCGAGCGCACAATTGACATTGGGTGTGTGCAAACTCTCTTCGGATGAATTATATAATGCCAAAAGTGTCCGAGTCGGAGCTTGATAATTATGTACTCGTTAAAGAGTACATAAATACGTGTGTGTCCATAAAATAATTGTAACGTTTTGTGTGTATATATAGCTGTTAGTTTCGTTTGCGCAGTCGTATCTTCTCTCTTCGAAGCAACAATATAAAAGGCGCCATTATATATTTCCGCGAATCGACCTTGTTCTTTTTATATAGTAGTATATCGATTCCTTCGCGCGCGTAAAATAAATCAATTTCATACCGAAAATAATTGACGATAAAAAAAACACTTGTTATTATCTTCCCCGCGCGTCTTTTTCATATTACAAATATACTCTTAAGAGAGCCATTTCGAGTTTCAACAATGGAACGAGATTACACGGGATTCGCGAAGAGCGAAATATAACTGAATCTCGCTGCCGATGTACCGCACGATCGCCGAGCTTGAAATTAATGTAACTACGAACCGATCGAAATCTGAATCGATGAATTTATTTTTAGAAGCAAGAAGGAATTACTTCCGAAGACTAAGAAGTTTGTTGCTCTTTGGTTTATATCGTCGAACGCATCTACATTCGAGGCGTGTCTCCTTCTCCGTTTACACGAGATCCAGAGAGCTCTCGGTTATAATGCGTATCCTATCGCTGCAGCAACGGCAGAAGTCTTTTCTTCGCCCCAAGGCGCGAATTCGACGCAATATTTTCCTTTTGCGCGCGCGTGTTACAAGCCAACACAACAACCGGATGGACTTTTGAAAAAGCTGCGGCAGTACCCGGAGAAATATATATAAGTGCACGCGCGTTATAGAAGCTGCTCCTGCTTCGATGTATACGTATGTATAAAAGGATATGAGGTAACGGATCGCAATGTATGCATGGAATCTCGAAACGATCTGTCGCTATGGCGAGATGAAAATAAGAGTACAGGTATATAGCTGACGCAGGGAAAAACCTAAACGTCTCGTTCCTCTATTTATTTTTTCTTTTCTGCTTTTCCTCGTCGTTATGCACCATAATTGCATACATATAGGCACGCGGCACGAACCAGTGTGTGCGTGTGTCTGTGTGTGTGCGCGATAGTTGCCACGGGCTTATCTCTCGAGCGAGTAATACATAATCGTTTTTGCTTTGCGAGCTACGACGATAGTAGAGAGCCGATAATTTTCATATGTATGTGTGTACAGGCGTCCGAAGTGTAATTGACTAGATAAGATATGATTTTTCGACTAATAGCTATTGCAGATCGCAATTAATGTTTATACATTAATAAACACGCGCGTCTCTCTTTTTCGTCACGACTGACAAAGCTCCGATACTCGTGTTTTATACACACTTAAAATGCACGTGTACGTTAAGAGAGAAGAACGCAAGGGAGGAAGGTATATACACACATATAAAGTACATATATAAAGAAAAAGATTTTCTTTTCTCTCCCGAGACTCACCTGTAGAGCGTCGAGCGCGCCGATCGGCGTGTTGGGCTGATGGGGCAGTACAAGTCCTCGCTCGCCGATCGCCTGCAGGCTATAACTCGAGGCTGCCAATTTGTGCGCGGTGGCGATCTGCACGAGGAGATCCATCATTGGCGTGCTGTAACACACAGAACGAACCAAGGTTTATATATATACATGCAAGAGTACGCGTACTCGAGATATTTATTTCATGCGTAATGACTCGCTGCTGCCGTACGTTGGAATGTTTGGGATCTTTTAATTTTTTTCAAGTACTCGTGCGTACTGTACGCAGCGGTATGCGCTCGCATGTAGATATACATACGATATACGAGTGGGGGAGTATCGGGATGCTCGTTAAATTTCGTCGATTTGTACTGTAATATACAAGCGAAAGGACAAGAAAAGTTTCGTTTCGAGAGAGAAAGAGAAAAACGGAAGGAAGCCGGGCGACCGCGAATGACTCGGATCGTTTTGTGCACAATTTTACGTAACCATTGCCGATGTCTTCTGTATCGTATTATAATGCATAATCTGTAACAATGAAGCACGACCGATTCGACGGGCGTAGCGCTACGTAGGTACGACAACTATAAACGTGCATACATTACAGAAGTACGAAAACTCGAGGAAAAAAAAAATAATAAAAATAGCGAACGGAGAAAAGAAACATCACCGCGATAAAAAATTACATCTCACTCTTTCAGCCCCTATTATATATATTTACCGATATATACATAATGTAATATACGTGCATGAAACACGCGAAACAACTTATGAGCGTTTACAAGTTTCAGTTGTATGTGTGTATAATAAAAGCGAGATCCGCGAGACTTCGTCACGTACTTCGCAAACTCGCAATGCTCTTTTGCCAGTAAGGCGCGCGAGAAAATCATGGCGAGCCGCGCGCACGAAACGTGACCGAACGGTTCGTTCGCGTGTGCCAATATATATACAGTCGATCGAGTCGAGCTGTATACGAATGTCTGCGCGGACTCGGCGGTATAGTGCGCATTTTTCCGCCTTTTTTTCCCTCAAAAAGTCGAAAGTTGCGCATAATGTATACGTACCGCACACGCATTGCATCGATTACGCGCATAGTACATATTATATATACGTATTTGGGTATATAAACGCGTACGCGTGAACTGGTCGATATCCTTAAAACGTCGAAGGATACGATCGATCGATTATGTATTATATAGTTCGTTCGACGACAAAAATCGTTGCATATTGATATTATATATAGGAAAAGAAAAGTATCCTCGACAGCTTCGCGAAAAATTCATTTTAACTTTTTTTAAGTACTTGGTTTTACGAGACTGAAAAAATTTCTCAAATCGTCGTCAAGTTAGAATTTTGATACAATTCAAAGACATGCGGAAAACATACAGATAGATAAATTTTAAACTTAATTGTAAACAATACAGTTGTAAACAGTCATCAGAGCGCCTCTTAAACACTGAGCACGTTTCTAGCCAAACAATTAAAGTATGAATTTTGTCTTTGACGATACAGGACATAATACCGAAAGATAAATTTTACTTATTAATTTTCCGTGGCATTGAATAGAAAGACTTATTGGTTACTTCAGGCATCAAAATGGATATTAGTAGTCAGGGGTCATTTGCACACAATGCAGTTCACAATAATCGCAAAGATTTTGCATGTGAGAAGTGCGAAAAGAAATTTGGACATAAATGCAATTTGATCAGACACCAAAAAGTAGTCCATGAAGGTCGCAAAGATTTCGCATGCGATAATTGCGAAACGAAATGTGTGAGTAAATCAGATTTGTTGAAGCACCAAAGGACAGTCCACGAAGGTCGCAAAGATTTTTCATGCGATGAGTGCGAAAAAAAATTTGGACATAAATCGCGTTTGCTCAGACACCAAACGACAGTACACGAAAGTTGCAAAGATTACGCATGCGACGAATGCGAGAAGAAATTTGGTTATAAATGCAATTTGATCAAACACCAAAAAGTAGTCCATGAAGGTCGCAAAGATTACACATGCGACAAATGCGAGCAAAAATTTGGAGGAAAATCGTATTTGGTTCAGCACCAAAGGACAGTCCACGAAGGTCGCAAAGATTTTTCATGCGATGGGTGCGAAAAAAAGTTCGGACAAAGATCGAATTTGCTCTTCCACCAAAGGACAGTCCACGAAGGTCGCAAAGATTATGCATGCGACAAATGTGAGAAGAAATTCGGACATAAAAGTGGTTTGCTCTTACACACAAGAACAGTCCATGAAGGTCGCAAAGATTTTGCATGCGATAATTGCGAGAAAAAATTTGGACATAACTATCATTTGCTCGCGCACCAAAAAATAGTACACGAAGGTCGCAAAGATTTCGCCTGTGACAAATGCGAAACGAAATGTGGGAGTAAATCAGATTTGTTGAAGCACCAAAGGACAGTACATGAAGGTCGTAAAGATTTCGCCTGTGACAAGTGCGAGAAAAAGTTTGGACATAAATATCATTTGCTCGCGCACCAAAAAATAGTACACGAAGGTCGCAAAGATTACACTTGCGATAAATGCGAGAAGAAATTTGGGTCTCGAAGCAATTTGATTAGACACCAAAAATCAGTCCACGAAGGTAGTAAAGATTACCTATACGACAAATGTGAGAAGAAATTTACACAAAAACTGAATTTGCTCTACCACCAAAGAAAAGTACACGGAGATTTCAAATGTGACTATTGCGAGAAGAAATTCCGATTAAAATCGAAATTGATTAAACATCAAATGAACGTTCATGATGATCCCAAGTATTATCAATGCGATAAGTGCGAAAAGAACTTTGGACACAAATCGAGCTTGATCTCGCACCTGAAAACACATGAAGATGTAAGCGAAGATCTCAAAGATTACGCAAGCCACAAGGACGAGCCGAAATTCGATAATCCAAGATATTTGATCAACTCCCAAAAGACACTCCACGAAAGTCGCATACATTTTTCAAGCGATAAGAATGAAGAGACATTTGGGGATCAAAAGAATTTGGCTGGACACCAAAAAGCTGTCCGTAGAGGCCGCAAAAATTATGCATGCGACAAGTGCGAGCAGGCATTTAGGATTGAAAACAGTCTGATCCAGCACCAAAAATTAGTCCACAAATGCCGCAAAGATGAAGCAAGCAGCGAGAGAAAAACGAGATCTGGGCGACCATCGATTTCGAGCGGACGAAGAAAAAAAGCCAAGAAAATTGGCAAAGACAAATTTTTCGACAGATGCTATAATTGTCTGGTTTGTAGATATAACAGATTTTTGTCCAAACAAAAAGTTGGAGCAAAGACAAAAAAACTCGTGACTCGCAACGTGTGAAAGTAAAGACATTTACAAGCTCTTTTGTTTTAAGATATCGTTTGCATGCGCAGAGAATTTAAATATTATATTTATACAAATGACCCGAACTTTTTTTTCAGTAAATAATGTGTATTTCATCAATGAACTAAGCATAAGCGTTCGTGCTTTACTCGACAAGTGTAAAAAATGTTACTGCAAATTTTTAAAATAAAAATTTTATCAATATGAATATACCTCAAACTTTGGGCTATCTAACAATAGATCTTGGTTTGCTGTTTAGTATTGGTTAAAAGTTCATAAAATATCTTGAAACGTATATTTTTCTCTGAAAATATGCATCATCGCTATATAATAATAATAAATTAAATACCTCATGCTGTAGAAAAGCTTTACAAACGACGAATTATTTACAAGCTTAAAATATACAACAGCAAAGTTACTGAATAAAGACACACAGACAGGTAAATGATAACTCGTGCTACAAGCGGCCTGATCACGCCAGGAGCAAAAACAAAAACGGCGAGCGAGAAAAAGTGAAAAAAAAACCAAGAGATGCTCGCGGCCGCGGCGCTCATTATACACACCAATCAATCATTCACCTCTGTACACGTCTATTTAGCTGTGTGGCTTTTCTCTTTGGTTTTTACTATGCCTTATGATACTCGCTGGCAGCAGCAGCAACACCACACAGCGGCCGTCGCGCCGCTGCACTAATCATCGTCGCGAAAAACCTGAGCTGCGCCGATCGCGAAGCTTATTTAGTAGAAAGTATTCGGATAAGACATTATTCGTCGGAAAAAATACGACGGTGACTTGGCGAAGGTGTTATTTTAGATCAGCGACGAAAATCAGCAGATCACAGCTGGTGCAGGTCGATGCCCGGGATTTTTCCATTTTTTTTTCTCTCGAGACAAGTTCAGGATCGAAGAGCTACAGGAACAAAGTAACCGAAAAAATGACTGAGATTAGTGATTGACGGTACGCGAAATTTTGGGGATTTCGATACTAAAAATCAGGACAGTGAAGAAAGGTGTATTAATAATAGTCGAAGCACCTGGTTCGGGTCAGATACAAACATATTGATACGGTTTTTATTGAAATTTTGTACTTTATCAACTATAGAAGTTTTCTATAAATTAACAATTGTCAAGAGAAAAAAATTAAATTGCTTAAATCCATAATTTTCTTCTCGCTTTTTTCGCGTAACATATCTGAATGATCTTTGTGCGCTGTAGATCGATGTTTGAATGAATTCAATCAATATTCAAATTTCATCTCACTGTAACGCATGCGTAGTCTTTACGACTATAACGGGCTGTCTTGAGATGGAAAAGCAAATGCTGTTTTCGTATAAATTTTTTCTTACAATTAACGCATTCGTAATCTTTGCGACCTTGGTGGACTAGTTTTTGGTGTTTGTCAAAATTGTTCGGATTCCCAAATTTCTTCTCGCATTTGTCACATGCAAAGTCTTTACGGGCGTAAACCTTGATGGACTGTCTTTTGATGCATAAGTAAAGTCAATTCTCCATCAAATTTATTTTCGCAGTTGTCACATGCGAAATCTTTACGACCATGATGTGCTATATTTTGGTGTCGAATCAATTTCGATTTTTCTCTGAATTTCTTCTCACATTTGTCGCAAGTGTAATCTTTGCGACCTTCGTGGACTGCTTTTTGGTGTTTCAACAAATTGCTTTGACATCCAAATTTTTTCTCGCACTTGTCGCATATAAAGTCTTTGCGACCTTCGTGTACTGTCCTTTGGTGGGAGAGCAAATGAGATTTTTTCCCGAATTTTTTCTCGCACTTGTCACAGGC